AGGTCATGGAGGATAACAGACGATAGGAACATTAACGCCAAGGAAGACGTTAAACATTAATTTATTCATATCCGACTTTAACACTGGTCAACTTGCGTTTCAAATTTATGGCCAGCGAGGTTAATAGAAATTTGGCAAAGGATGATCTAAGAATTTCTCCTTAATTTCTTTAAATTTGAGCTTTTAAATTCTAGTGAGGTAATGAATCTGATCAATGAATTTCCTCTCGCTAAGATTTGTACCCCAACTCAGAAAACTAGATGATGTGAAAATGGTGGGAAGATTGCTTTGAACGACATCCAGTTTTGTATTAGGATCTCCAGGATCTAAATGAAAGTGTTTAAAGTGTTTTGAAAATTATCGTGTGCTTTGAAGATTTAGTACAACATACCTATCATGGGCAGCAGAGTTCACGCTTCTATGTGATGACTTATTGGTTTCAGGGACTTGTCCAACAACCAGTTACAGCATCTACCTTCTGGTGTGTTTGCTGACATTGAGGTCTCCTCCAGGGGGCAGTTGATGATGTAAGTAAGATAAAGGAAAAGAAACAATGAGAAATTAATTCCTTGACCAGAGGAAAACTGGGGTAAATTAAGGGAAAAATTCCCCGAAAGGGCTTTCAAGCATAATTCAACGAAGAGTTCCCAAACAAATAATAGTGAACATAAAGGAATAGTGCTTGTGTTCGTGGTAAAGACCCATGCTCTTGCAACACCTCTTCGAGTTGCAACCTCTCTTGCGAGCTAGGCAAAGCTCACTTCAACGAGAGGTCGCAGCAGCCCCCACTGACTTGGGGTTCCCTCTTCAGTTGATGGAGATATTACTAAACAGGGTAACGAAGCAACAAACAACAGAGAAATAAGAAAAGGAGAAACAGTAACATCAACATTTTTATATTTTTATATCTCTTAAAAGTTATTTAGGAGGAATCTCAAAATAAGATCGGAAACACCCCGGGATTTACCTCGGTTGTCTCCATCGCTCTTTACCTTGAACAAACGAATCTGTAACACTTATTCTAAGCATCGCTGTAGGGAAAACAAACTCGAATTTAGGCGCAAACCCAACAGTAATGTAAATCGTTTCGATTGTTTACGATCTGAAGTGAAACACAAGCCGTGAGCTAATTAAAGGCAATTTAAGGCACAAAAAAGTCTCTTCTAACAATCCGTTTATTAATTCTTTCATTTTAATTATAACTTATCAAAGGAAACTCTTCCGTCTCATGGTTTTGAAAGTGTTACTCCTGATCAGATAAGCAAGAAACCATCTTTTTTACAGTATTAGCTGCTGTTCCATCGATCGCCCAGCGCTAGTTCCTTTATCAGCACAATTAAACTGTATACTTTAAGTATTTCCCTGTTTTAATAGCTCGTCTTACTTTGCTTAACTGACAAAATAGCGATAAGAAACATGTTTTCTACTTTATGCATTGTTGGCGAAGTTGATTTTAACTTGCTTGGTATTTAAGAATCTATCCCCCACCCCACCCCTGTTCGGCGAACACAGAAAGAAAAGCGTATTTCTCTGGATTGGTCAGTTAAGCCGTGGTACCGTAGTACTGGATTAAGTGGTGCGTAGGTTTTAAAACGAAACCTTTCCTTTCTGCACAAAAAGAACACTCCAAGACGCTCTGTGCAAGGTGGGATTTACAAAGTAACAATAGAGTTTATTCAGTGCAGCAAATTTAACATTATTGACCTTTTAGAATCGAAGATGGCAAGCTATGTTTGGAAGTATTGCTCCTCCTTCAGTTGATAGCAGTCATGCTTTTACAAAGCAACGCTCATCTTACTGAGCAACCCCGTAAACAATCATGGGTCTGGAATCACCTTTTTATACTTCTTTTCAATCGAATTTAAAGGGCGTGTGATTTAAGCTGAGTCTAGCGGTTGTTTAACAAAGCCGCTTTCTAAGCCATCTTCATTTTGGCCAAATCTGTTAGATATTGGAACATTACTTTTTGTGAACAACGTCAAGATGGTCGAAAGGAAATCGTAGAGGAACATTATATCAACTATCCTATGGATAATCTCCGAGGCTCGACAATCAATCACTCACTGATTTGAATTTTAGGGGCATGAAAACGCTTCTCTGAGCTTAAGGTGGTCACAGGCACTATCAAGATATAGGAATATATACCCTTCCTACAAAGTATCTGTTTTCACAACATGTCTAAGAATGCGCTTTTTCCTTTCGTGAATTGCGCGCATGCGCAAGAGCGAGTTGTAGGTATGATGTGATGAATGGCGCTCGCTCGCACGCTCGGTTGGTCGATTCCTGTAACCTTTTTTTCTATTATAGGCTTTTGAATACATCTGATAGTTTTTGGCGAGTGATGACCAAACGAAATGGCGACCTTGGTTGCTAAGAATAGTGTTGGGGTGAAAAAGAAGCCAATGATAAACTTGAAAGAGTAAAACAGTATACGTTTTTCATTTGTGAATTAAAGTTTGCCCAATCTCCGAACACACTTTTATCTCTTGCAGTGTATATTTCATTTATGGCGTCAATACTTCTATTTTTGAATGTATATATCCAGGAGAATTATTATTGTGTCCGAAAGAGAAAAAAAAATAAAACAAAGAAACGAAGTTAAGCAAAACGCAAAATTTACTCATGTGCGGCAGACTTTAACCACCTACGTCGCCTTCCTGAGAATGATATCTACAGCATAGCCTTTTACCGGAAGGCCACCCAGGCACCACATTAGATTACCATGAGACTTTATCTAAAAATTAATTTTACATTTAAAACGCTGATCTTTTGCTTATTTCAACCGCGGGCTCAAACGACTCGAGTCGCTGCTCGCCGATGGTCCGATATATTGAAGTGTCGCTCACGGCCAACTGCTCGTAAGGTGACTTGTTTGAGGCTTGTTAGGTATTCTGGAGCTGTATTGACGTTGGAAAGTGGTTCACAAGTGGGAACTGCAGTGAAATAGGCTCAAACATAAGTTCAATCAAGCAATATGCTGTTTTTTCAATGGTGTAACTCGCACTGTGTATGCGTATGTTATTAGTGTGATCATCCTTGTACTTGTTTTCATCCTCGTGCTAATAATTATCGCAGAAGTGCGAAACAGGCTTCAAGCGCGACAGTCAGTAGCAACAGGCATAAGCATAAACATGACAAGCTAATGCGCAAGTGGGCACAGCTGCAACATAAACATAAGCACAAGCGCTCAGTCGATGTTATGTTAAGTAGGGACATGGTTGGTATAGGCAGTATAGTGCTTGCTGATTGCCTGAAAGTCTTTCGTTTATGTTTATCCTTACGCTTATGCCAACCAAGTATTAACTAGACAGTATAAGCATAAAAAGAATACAACGTTTTGATAATCTTATGCATATTTGTCCTTTTTTCCGTGCGTTCCATCCAGTACATAAGCTTTTACGTGCCTATCTCTATGCTTGCATCGCAAGTAAATACTGAGCTCAATATTAAAACAATAGTTTTGTGATAAACAAAACAGCACCCTTTTGAACTTTCTTTCCACAAACCTTTACAGTAAAATCTGGAACAGTGATTGTCTTACACTAAGTCCTAATCAGACCATATTTTCTGTCTTTGAGGCCTAATTTAGTTTCACATCATATTCCTCATAATGCTCGTTTACCAGTCTAACGAATCATACCTTAGTATGGAAATCAAACACCCATTTCTATTGACGACACAAATTACATTGGCTTATCTAATTCACGAGTTGGCTCACAGAGCCTTTGATTGTGGACTTGTTGACGATAGGGACCTGTCCAACAACAAGTTAAAGGATCTACCACCAAGAGTATTTGCTGGCATGCACGTTTCCGAACATGGCAGGATAACGCTGTGAGTTCTTTGTTTTTTGTTTTTTAATCTAAAATAAAAGTTATTCATCGCATTTGG